GAATGGAAGAAACGTTTCTTTACGTTATAAACGTTTTCACCACTTTCTTTATCAAGAAGTTTCCATGTAACAACCAATTTACAAACTTCTATCAGCGACGTGATAGAAACGTAAAGTTGACGCTGGAACTGGCGAAAACCGTGAAAATATCCGCGACGCGAGATAACGAAGCGTGAAAAGCGCCCGCGTCGGCGGCGATCGCGTCGCCCCGAGGACAATAGTGTAGAGGGTGTCCCTATCTTTCGCAATGAAGTTGATATCGCGATCGAATCGCAGTTCAATTGCAATTGGACACCTAGCTGGGCATCGATATCTGTCTGGGAGAGCGAAAAGAAATTTTCCTTCGATGGCTACGGTGCACTTTCCTCGTTGTCTTATCGCTGTCGCAATGCTCGGAGATAATTGGAACCACCCCTAGTTGAATCGCAAATTAATTCCGCATAAAAATAATTCAGCGTGCGATCACAGAAGAAAATATTATGCTCTGTTAAGCATAAAAATAAAAAGTTTAAAATATAATTTCATATAAAATCTTATGGAAACGTGCTGAAAAATGAATGCTTCAGAATTTGTAATTTATAGTTTACACAACTAGGGAATTCTGAATCTAGTCTTCTAAACTTAATCTGTAGTTAATTTACAAATTATTTGCAGATTAAATTCTATCCGAAAATATTCGAACACTATGATATTTAATTCAAGCACGTCGTCATCTAAATTTAGCGCAGAACCCTTGCCTAAAACCACTATACCGCCTTCGTCATCGGTGCGTGTCCGAGCGTCAAAGTTCACCCCGACACACTATAAAAAAAGTAGCTTACTCGGGGCTTTCTCGGGTAATACAGGGGCTCAGTCAATTATTCCGTGACACTTGTAAGTGATTAACGGGGATGAAGGAAGGAGGAAGAAGGCCTAGAGACGTTCGAGTACGTGTCGTGGCTGATGTACTTGCGAGAAGATCGCGGCCCAGTTGAATCAAGATTTAATCGAATAATTCTCTTGGGATCTAATGGCGGGGAATAATTTATCGCCGCTCGGGACGGGCGAGCTTTCCTAGATTATTAAGCTAGGGGCGCACTCTGCACCGTCCCAGGATTGGCCGCGACAACGCCAATTCCAGCCGGGGCCGCGAACACCGCGAGCTACTTAGCCGGGGCGACACGTCCGTCATCTATCCGCGCAGATTACGTTGATTTATCGTAATTTACGTTCCACCGGGGAGCGCGGCCGTTACCCTAAAGCCATTAACGCCACGTCGATTGTCGGCCTAGTCGTGAAAGGATCAAGTCTACTGTCTGCGACTTGGCGATTTGCGAGCCGCCCTGAAATTGGTCTTCCGAATGTTCTGTGACTGATAGTTAGAGGTGATGGTGTTTCTGTCAGTGAATAGTTCGTGTAAATTCGTTCTCGATTGTCTGTAGTTATGGGGAAGTTTCGTTTGTCGAGAATATTAGCGAAATACTATTTGAAAGTGCAAATAATGAGGTTACATCTAACATAACCCAGAGTTTGATTGTAATTAAATGAATAGCTTGCACTGTAGCCAGTGCATGTTTTTCTTATAAATTTGAAATTATAGTTCAGTCGAAAGCAGCGCGGTAAAAAAGTTCCAGCACCGACGCTTGTGAGAAACATTTACACATCATGTGTTATTCAAACAAGCCTAAAGTACTGGAACAAGAACAGCATAATTTAGGGAATAAAGGGTAGCTCTAACACAGACATTAAACAGACTATTAACAGGCTCCGGGCCAAGTAGAACGCGAGGCTGCCATTCCCAGTCAATTTTACCATATTAAATACCGTTCCTGGTCGCGTGACTCACCCCCGAATTCTGCAGCCGGATAAACTACCCCTCGTGTCTGTCGAAAAAAGAAAGAAGACCCCGGTTCCCTAATAACTGACTGATACCGGTGCCATTTGCATTCGAAGCGGGCCGTAGAGATCGCCGCGCGAAACTCGATTAAAAAACTGACCCCGGGCCGCGCGCGCGTATCGCGCCCCCGGGACACGGCGGAGGCGCGATAACGACAGTTCTTTATATTTCACCTCCGTCCAATAACGAATCCTCTCGTTAGCGGGATTTCAACGTTTTCCCCTCGTTTCTTCGTACCGACATTTTCCACCTCCCGCGCCGATTTTTCCATTTTTCCCCTTGGCCCGCGATCCAGCCGGACACTCCACCCTCGTGCGCATCCCCCTTCGATCCGTCTGTTTCTCTTGCTCGCATGATCGCAGCCTACCTTGTGTACGCGACAGATTTTAATTAGCGATATACGCGAGACCGATCGAAGCCTTTCCTTTCACGCCTATCCCTTCCCCCGTTTCATCTCCCTCCAATTTTGTCTCGGCTTGTTTTTTCGCCCGTGAAAAATGTCACCCTCGTCGCCGACTTCACCGGGTACCAGACGAACCTGCGTCGCCATTATCTTCGTCGATTCTCTCTTTCAGCATCGAGTGTTTTGTACTGGAGTCTAACGGCGCGCTAGATGTTTGTTTATTGTTACAGCCGTGAGTTATCGTTGTTATTGTGCTTTAGGTGATTTATGCGTTTGATTATCAATTTTTAAAAACGATGCAAACACTGAAGAAATATGTAAAAGAACATAGAAAGAATTAGAGAGTAATATGAATAATTGTTTAAAAGGGTGAGTTTGATTCTAATTTGCTGTTTCTATGATTCATTGCAAATGTTCCTCGTTAATGCACCATTAACGTGACTAATACACTCGATGCTGCTAACGGTATGTAAATCTGCTTCATTATTATCATCGCATAACCATTATCGATGAAGTAATTCGCTGCGAGATACTTTATTACGGTACACAGAGAGCGTGGTTAACCGCGAACGATTCAGTATTAAGCTTCTTCAATTCACTTTATAGGTAGGGGGTTTAGTATAAATCGCTGAGGAAGTGCGATTTCAGTATTCACTGTATTCGAATATAACTTCATGTTAACAATGAAGCAACTTAAATAGGAACAAAACTAATGTGCCACACAAACTTTATAAGCAATATACACACCATGAAAACTCGTGTAGATTCGCTAACGCCAAATAACAAAGCTTCACGAAACATGATACAGTCCAGCAAAAACAAACGTTCGCCGATAAAACGCGATATTAAAAATCAAAGATTGTTCCGCGTAGAGCACAGAGGTAGAAAAAGGAGCCGGTTTTTCCTGTTCACCGCTGTGAAAGTCCTACCAGATTTCCCACGGGCACGGCGTTCGAAAACAGACAAATAGTTTATCCCGGCGCCGCTGGAAACTGGTCAGCGTCCATGACTGCCAGATTTTCCGGCATTTTTTCCCCTGCCGCCTTTTCTCTGTTCCCTACTCCCCATCTGTCTCCCTCTTTCAGTCTCGTTTCACAGTGTCGAGGTAAATGGAATAGCCTGGTATCAAGGGGAATACCTCCAGCAACGCGTAGAATGGTCGACGATTCGAAAGCTTTCAACCCATCGGGGGCTAATCGCGACGCTACTCTCCTACGGACTCTACCATACGCGACCGAGACTCTTCAGCTCTTCGCCGCCCCTCCACTCCGGATCGTCCTCTCGCCAACCCGTTCGCCGGCCCGCAGGATAATGGCGATCGTCATTTAGCCACTTCCGGCGGTTCGATAACGCAGCGCCGATTTACATGAGAATCTTCCTTCAGCCACCCCCTACTGCACCGCTACCCCCCGGAATTTCCAAGAGATTGCGTGTCACGAGA